TATGTGTAACATAATGTGTTCACACCTATATCAGTGTAAGATAAGGTTTATACCCCTGCCCCTATATGTAACATAAGGCATTCATGCCTATATCAGTGTAAGATAAGGTTTATACCCCTGCCCCTATGTGTAACATAAGGTCTTCACGCCTATATCAGTGTAAGATAAGGTTTATACCCCTGCCCCTATGTGTAACATAAGGTCTTCACGCCTATATCAGTGTAAGTAAGGTTTATACACCTGCCCCTATGTGTAACATAAGGTGTTCACACATATATCAGTGTAAGATAAGGTTTATACCCCTGCCCCTATGTGTAACATAAGATGTTCACGCCTATATCAGTGTAAGATAAGGTTTATACCCCTGCCCCTATGTGTAACATAAGGTCTTCACGCCTATATCAGTGTAAGATAAGGTTTATACCCCTGCCCCTATGTGTAACATAAGGTCTTCACGCCTATATCAGTGTAAGTAAGGTTTATACACCTGCCCCTATGTGTAACATAAGGTGTTCACACATATATCAGTGTAAGATAAGGTTTATACCCCTGCCCCTATGTGTAACATAAGATGTTCACGCTTATATCAGTGTAAGATAAGGTTTACACCCCTGCCCCTATGTGTAACATAAGGTGTTACACCTATATCAGTGTAAGATAAGGTTTATACCCCTGCTCCTATATGTAACATAAGGTGTTCATGCATCAGTGTAAGATGTTAAGATGGTTTTACCCCTGCCCCCATGTGTAACATAAGGTGCTCACGCTTGCCCCTATGTGTAACACAAGGTGTTCACCCCTGCCCCTATATATAACACAAGGTATATCAGGCACATAGGGCACTGGAGTGATTGGACTAGCAAAGAGGCATAGCCAGGGCGGGGGTAGGCATGCTAGAAAGCAAGTATTGCAGGAAAGAAAAGTTTAAGTATAAAATTATTAACCCTATTATCTATATAAATACCAATCCTATATTAAAGTGTACAGTATATGTGTGTGTATATGTGTCTAAAATGTTTACTAGTATTTTCAATTTAGTACTAAAGTACAAACAGAAACTAGCTATATGATTTGAATCAAATCAAAATATATATTTTGTGTTTTCTCAAAACAGCCATGCATTCATACAAATAACTATAAGAATACAGTGAAAGTATGTATTTGTTTGTTGTCGGTAATTTATAGTACGACCCTTTAATTAAAGTGGAAGTCAAGTCCGTAATGTAAACAAACGGTTTGTTTACATTTTGAACTGCTGTATTTTTTAAAATATGATGTACTGTCTGAATATCTAACACCATTTTGGTTCGCTATGCTTCGAAATGAATATGAAATAGAGTTTATATTCAGAAAAAATCGAAATTTGGGCAATGTTTACATTCAGAGGTCCGCAGAACGGACTTGACTTCCACTTTAAACTTTAATATTTACCGAAAAGTGAAAACCCTTTAAAAACTTACCATTAAGACAGCCTGTTCTTTCATTCAAGCGTTGTCTCTTTATCCATGGTCGAATTGCCAGAACAGCGATGTAGCGAAATTTCCGGCCGTCTTTCACAACAAATAACATCACAATTTAAAGTCAATATAAACTGCACGTATTTTTCTCTTTACCAAAGAATCGTTTTCCCTGACCATTGAGTTACAATTTCCATAACTAAGCAGTCGTTATAACGTAAAATAAGCGGGTATTTGTGAACAAAAATGCCCTTTGACGACACGAAGTAAACCGGCGCCATCTTGTCTTCTCCAAACATTATAAATTTTCCCGCCAAAAAACTCTGTTGTGATGGCGAAGTCCCGTATGAAACTGACGTCACTGGTGTCTTTGGTCATGCGCACTGAGCCATAATATTACAGTGGTGGTAAAATATTTCTCAAATACGCGCTAAATCCAATTTTAATCTCTTTATCTTCTTTATTTTCGATTCTACATATTGTTCGACCCAACCACGATTGAAACACAACAATTTTTGCCCGCTAAACATTTTAAAATCAACGAAAATATTAAATATGAAGTATTATTTCATAATTTATAGAAATATGCTCTTCGGACGAACATCGGGAAAATCCGAAGTTGTCTCAGCCACTGAACTGTATAAGAGCACTGGACGTCTGTCTGTTTTTCACGTAAAGCAATTACTTCATGTAACCAAGCTTGTTCTGGCTCGAACAATATGGCCGCTCAAGTTTTAAAAAAATCATGCCAACAAAAAAACTAGCTTTTTCAAAGCATATTTTCTTCTTTATGCCAATTGTCCCCTTTTTTAAGAAGTGTAAAAAGTGCGTAATAAGGTGGGTAGGGTAGACACTGCTCATAACAATTTTCTAATGTGACCGAGGGCCCTAAGGCCATGGGAATGAAAGTCATAGATTTGCGTCCGGATAATTTTGAAAAAACGTGCGGGGTTTTTTCATTATTCATTATTCATTATTTTTTTACCATCCTGTTGGGTGGTAAACACAGAGATCAAAACACGAATTACCGTTTACGCCACGGAATTACATATATCTCGAGCTCACACAGTTGCAGTACTGATCAAGATCTGTGTGCCAATTTCGCCATTACGGTGAATATAATTTGGAATTTCATAGAATGTGGATACTGAGGACAAACACACTGCAATATGTTCATTTTATTGTAATCAATGCACAATTTTATTGCTAATTTTATTGAGTTTTGCTTTATTTGTGAAAATAATGCATTTTTTTGTAAATAATGAAAATTTTAGGCTGTAGCTTTTGAGGCATGCGGGCGGTGGACGCAAATCTATGACTTTCATTCCCATGGCCTAATGTAAACATTGCCCAAACTTCGAATGTTTCGAATTTTGCTGAATATAAACTCTATTTCATATTCATTTAGAAGCATAGCAAACCAAAATGATGTTAGATATTCTGACAGTACATCATATTTCAAAAAATTACAGCAATTCAAAATGTATTTAAAACAAACCGTTTGTTTACATACGGACTTGACTTCCACTTTAAGATAATATATAAACAAAGTGACTATAAACAAAGTGACTATATGACCGGCAGCCGGTCACGGTTTATCAAATACTAAATGGCCGGCAGTACAGTGACTATAGTTAAGGTTGATTTTTATATGTAAGATGAACCGACCCCAAACCCTACCCCTAACCTTTGAGAAAAGGTTAAGCCGGGGGAAAAAGGAAAATAAATTTTAGGAAAAAACAATGCCAAGCCAGACAGAACACATCCAGACCCCGACTGCTTTTGCAGCACCTTTGCCGAATACGCCAACAGCAAGCTCGGTAAAAGCTAACACAAACATAAGTTTTTATATTTAACTATAGTCACTATACGGCCATTTAGTATTTGATAAGCTGTGACTGGCTGCCTGTCCATATAGTCACTTTGTTTATAGTCCTGACTGGAAAGTTTGGAAATTGCACACCAGGGAATTCGAAAATGTGACAATGAATATATAGAGAGCATCAAAATTGCGCCGCTGATGTTTCCGCCGCACGATTCAAACTTTCCACACTGGTTTATAGTATCATTAGTATGTATTTATAAATTAAGTGTAATAGTAGATGTAAAGCGCCTTGGATCATATTCACATTTAAATTTGCACAATAGCAGGCCTTAAAATATCGGTCGGTCACAGACATTGTCCAACCCATTCGTGAAATTGTCCGACGTAGAGAGGAAACCACCGGACATTCTGTCCAACCAAAGTGAAACTGAGGTTTATTGTTTGTCCGACCCAAGTGTATTGGTGTCAGTCTGTCCGACCGAACTGTAGCTTGATTTGTCAGACGTAAATCAAAATGTACCCTAGCCCACAACGAGATCGGCTTGTATGTTAAATGGAAAATCAGAGTACTATTGTTTAAAAGGTGAACTGGAAATGTTGTTTTGATGTAGTCGAGCGCGGGGAGGTGAGCGAAAATGGTGAAATGGAAAACAGTTTTAACACTGCTGTACTGGCAAGCAAGTTAATTTTGGCTTGGAAATAAGTATGAAAGAAACAAATTATTTAATATCTTTACAACATTTACCGTTTATTCATTTGTGTCATCGAGACTTATTTCTGAGTCAAAACTCAGTTCAACTGACAGTCATCGGACATATGTCCAACCCAAACTGAACGTCATCGAACATTTTGTCAGACGGCCCTGTAACTAAGATATATTTTTAGGCCGGAATAGAAATGTTAATAATAATTAACCCTCTCCCCCCCCCCCCATGGTTTAATGTAGCCAGGGTTTAAACTTATGTAGCGTACCTTAACTTTCTCGAATTTTTTGCCACAATTAAAAAATAAAATGTGGTCTAATATGGCCAAAAAGTGAATGTTAAGCTTTGTAGGACAACCTCCATATTGAATATTGTCATAAATTACGTCGAATCGATGTTACGAGTGGTTGGGTTTTATGTGAACTTATCGATGTTATCTCATGGCAATTTGACAATTAATGTCCAAAGTAAATATCACAGTACAGCTTTTGTATAAACACGAGTCAAAATACGACTGAATATTGATAGACGTTATCTGGAGTGGGTGGGTGGGTGAAGTAATAATGTTGATTCGATGTTATTTGTGGCAACATGAATATGGGCGTGGCCCTTTAGTATTATTTTTGAACAAGGTAAAGTTTGTATTTGTTACTAGCGTGAAAACAACAAATAAACAAGGTAGCTGACACAGATCCTCGACTCCCAAATGAAAACCAAGACAAAGAATACGGGCGAAACAGTTAGCTGACAGTGCTCTGGGAATCTAACCCAGATACCTAAAAACCGTTACTCCGTGCACAAACTCAAAAATTGTAGAAATCCAACTTTTTTGCTAAAGGAAAGGTGTTTGTTGATTTTTAAACGCTTGGAGGCAATGCAAAAGTTCAATAAATATTTTGAATCTTTTCCATATTTAAACTGAGTTCAGCAGTACGGTTTTAGGTCCCGGAACACGGGCACTGTTTTTTGTTTCGAGGGAAACCGGGCATTGCCCGGAGGAAAACCCTCCTAATATTTTGGCCGAATTTTAATGCCGGAGAGGATATATGGGAGAAGATATACCGGAAGAAATGCAGCCGAAGGAATCTGTGTCAGCCCAAAAAACACAGCCCATTGTCAGCCGGAATTAATGCCGGATACTACAATATACTATACTATTATTTGCACAAACGTCGCCATATTGCTTCCGTCAAAATCGTCGTCAACCTTAAGTTTTGCCGAATGCCCTGAAGAAAAAAGCTTCTGCTATCTCACGACCAGAGATTAAGCGACCATCTAGAGATGGGGTGCAAAAGTTAGTGCACATACGTATATCCCTGCTAGCACCGATTTTATTCACGGGGAGGGCAAAAATCCCGCTAGCAGGGATATTAGGAAAAATAATGCATACTCACTTTCAAGACAAAAAAGTTCTTGTGGTATTATCGAAATATAATACCCGTCAGGGCAAGACGGACAAAACGCCCTAGCGCGAAAAAGACGCGCGTAAAGATGAAAACTTTGCATTGCATTTATTGCGGTCAAAGCTTTTTTCTTCCACGCGCATTTTCCAAGCGCGGTACGCCAAAACAAGCTTCACAAATTGTGAACCAGGTTCCATGCGCACGCCTAATCTGCGAGGCAGCGTCGTATTTTTCATTTTCCTCTTTTCTTTTTTTCTTTTTTTCTTTTTTTTTTAGTGTGCGTCAGTCTCCAGAACAAATTTTTGCAAATTGCGAATATTTGCCTGAAAACTTCGTTTATTTATCAATCTTTAAGACGATATACGAATCCATACGAATTCGTGGAGAACTAACTATCATTAATTGAATAAAGCGCGAAGACATTAGCATATGCAGCGCACAACCAAGTTCACGAATGCCCTGTTCCCGCGCAGAAATGTGACGACGTGTTTATGGACAAAGTATTCACGAACTTAGCCGTTCCTGGCGACTTTCGCATCAAAACCGAACGCTTCGCAAGGCCTATTAAAAAACTACGCTTGGATTCTCGAGTCGGAGCGAAACAAGAAATAAATTTTTCCAAATAAAAATTATTTTTTTTGCAAAGTGTTTTTGCCACACACGAAATAGTAAGTAAAATTTCAAATTTCAAGGCTCAGCAATTTAAGCGTAGTTTTCCAATGGACCAAAACTCCAAAGACTAAGACATACATATATTTCATTTTGAAATCGATGCGATGTACTTAGTGCTTTGTAGTTACCATGCACAGACCATGCACAGACCATGCATGCACACAGACCATCCAAAAATCATGCACAGACCATCCAAAAATCATGCACAGACCATGCAAAAATCATGCACAGCCATGCATAAACCATGCACAGACCATGCATGCACACAGACCATGCCAAAATCATGCACAGACGATGCAAAAATCATGCACAGACTACGCACAGACTATGCAAAAAACCATGCACAGACCATGCAAAAACCATGCATGCACACAGACCATGCAAAAATCATGCACAGACCATGCAAAAAGCCATGCATAGACCATGCAAAAAGCCATGCACAGACCATGTAAAAATCATGCACAGACCATGCAAAAATCATGCACAGACCATGCAAAAATCATGCACAGACCATGCAAAAATCATGCACAGACCATGCAAAAATCATGCATAGACCATGCATAGACCATGCAAAAAGCCATGCAAAAAGCCATGCGAAAAACCATGCACAGACCATGCGTCAAATTGGATCAGCTACGTTTAGACGCAGAGGAAACGCATCAAATCGCAAAGTAAAAAACAAATAAACTTCATGAAATAACTCGCAAGTTTTAGACCATGTTTTAGCGCGCATGCGTCGCGACGTAGCCAACCCGAATATACCAGACTAAGAGCACCAGGATAATTAGTGCCCAGAATCCCGACTACGATAAATAATAAATAGAACTACTTTACACAGGATTCTGAGCAGGCGTTCTAACATAGCAACATATATGCACCCTCACAGATTTACCGGGAGTTAGTCGTCAAACCGTAATTTTACTCGTCGCGTCATCGTAGCTTAGCGTCGTCTGAGGTAGGACGTCGTCATCGGAGTTGATTGCCATGGTTACTCTTTTTTATGCAAACGCAAAGTTTCCGAAGAAACCGAGGCTGTCAACTCAAGTTGATTTCCACCAGAAGCCGGCTAAGTATTTATGCGTGCTGTGAGCAAGCGAGTCTGGGTACGAATACAACATCTAAGCAACAACGTCAGTAGTGTTTCAAAGCAGTTAGACCTCGTTGAAGAATCGATACTGAAAACATTCTAGCAGAACGCTTCGACGAAGAATGGAAGGTCGAATCCTGCATACAAGTTCTCAGTGATCTAAAGTTTACGGTAGTTGTAGGTCTGTGTGAGCAGTCCAGTGATTTTCCAGCTCAGTTTCTGCAACTGTAGCATGCGCAGGACGATGGATAGCGATATCGATTTCCCGAGGCTTCCGGTTGAAATGCCCCTTCCACCAGACTCAAACAAAAAGCACGCATATAGGAAGGCGCCTTTCCAACGTACTTCTCCATCAAATCTGAGGGCAGGGACAACTCGTGGGAAATCACGTGAAATCAACATCGTTATCAACCGTTCCGCGTATGCTCTAGTTGTAGAAACTGAGCTGGAAAATCACTGGACTGCTCACACAGACCTACACTACCGCAACCTTCAGATCACTGAGAATTTGTACACGGGACTCGGCATTTCGTTCGTCGTTCAAGCGTTTTGCTAGAATGGTTTCAGCATCTATACCTCATTGAAGTCTAACTACCTCAAATCACTGCTGACGTCACCACTTAGGCGACTATATTCGAGAAACCTTGTTGTGTTTAATTAATCCGGAGTACCCGGCGAAAATCTGTGATGTTTGTTACAATCTGGAGTACCCAGAGACAATCTGCGATGCTCGACTAAATCCGGGCTACTCTGTGTAAATTTGTAGTGTTTATTTAAATCTGGATTACCCAGAGACAATCTGTGGTGATGACTAAAAACTGGAGCACCCGGTGCAAACCTCTGGGGAAATGCTCGAGCCATCAGTCTCATCAGCTTACGCCAACTTGCATTCGCATTCGTAAGAGACATCCCATCATAAAGGCTTCCGTTTTCTAAAACAACAAAATAAAACATGAATAAGTATAGTGTAATAGGTTTTGTTTGTGGAAACACCACGTAAATTTATTACTGCAAAGCTTTCGATCCGTAAGCCCGGATCTTCATCAGTGCTAACAATATTCATATTATTAGCACTGATGAAGATCCGGGCTTACGGATCGAAAGCTTTGCAGTAATAAATTTACGTGGTGTTTCCACAAACAAAACCTATTATATTTTATCACCATGCAAACATACAAAGAACTTAAGTATAGTGTAATTGTGTGGTTAAGACAAAACTAATCTGCTAACTTTCTAGAGGGTCACTAGCTTTTTTTAGAAACCCTGAATGATAAATATAAATATATATAACACAATACAATACCTTGTGAATCTTCGTCCACAGTCTTCTTCTTTTTCACGAGTGCTCCACATTGAGCATTGAACAAAAATAAAATGTGCGAACATGTTTTGGGGTAGATACTGAGGGGGCTGGCTAAGCGTTTATCTCACGCATTGAGTCCTAACTACCTCAATCTGACGAGGTCATCACGCTCGTTTCTCATATCATCCTAAACTAGCCCTAAGAGAGGCCTAAGCATGTTTTCATGCAGACACTCAAATTTTGGATGATGTGCGAGTTTTGAAATGAAGGCAGACGAGCTGGGCTCTTCTCGTCTCCTTGTCTCTGAAATCTTGCGTCCTGACGACGAGTGAGTATGAAAAAAATCGGGCTCAAAAATAAAAATGTGCAGGTAAAAAAATCCTTGTCCGCCCAAGCGCGGGTTTCCTCCTTCCAACCTGAAAAGTAAAATGAACTACAATTAACAACGATGCTTTAAAAGTGACGCCAATGTTTACAGCAATATACGAGCAAAACTTATACTGAACTTCAGACATCATTTTCTCTTTGGCGTACCATTTAAAATCAATTCATATTAGCGTTATTTTACACATACAGCACTAAGTTTGCTTGCCAATTGAGAAACGTGTCTGTGTGTTACGACAGGAATTCGGAGTACCCGAATTTGAAGCTGGAATTATTCTCACATGTGACTGACGCGAAACTATCATGACAAATGCATTAAATTGTACTTACTCATGCATGTCGAAAGGGTTATCATTTTTGCGGGTCATTTCACTTCATTAAAATTTGCACCTGAAAGAAAAATAAAAACACATCATTAATTGAACGCGTACTCTCGTATATGGAAGCGTTTTTAGTAGAATTAAACAAATTCTTTCAGAATTGTTAATAAGCGAACGGCTAGCTATTTAGAACAAAACTGTCAGTCAAATTGCAACATAAACCGAAAGAAATAGCAAATTAATTTCAGAATTTTGGACTAAGAAGTCGCAAAAATATCGTACAAAATTGTGGACAAACTGTACAGTACAGATGTAGTACAACCAAACCGTTTGAGTAAAGCATACAGCTTTCATTTTAGGTATTATCTTTAGTAAAAGTTGACCAAAATTTAGACTAAGTCTAAGAAGACTATAATTCTACCAGGATGCTTAACAATTCTTAAAAGTAAGCGCTAATTCTATTTTAGAACAAATATTTATAGAGAAATATTACATATATATACCTGGTTATATATCCCCGCTGACTTTGTGGCCAGTCTATGGCTTGAGCGAATTTCTCGCGGAACTTTCTGGCCTAAAAGTGCAAGAAAACAAATATAAGTTATAGGAAGACAAAAGACAAGGATTCTGAAGTTAAATGCTACAAGATTTTATCGAAAACGTTAAGAAATAGCCAAAAGTTTGAAAGACCATACAATACACGTGGCGACTACTCATGCAGAAAAAACATCAGTTGAACGAATTCTATTAGTGAACGGTTCATGAATTTCGTCGCGTTTCAAAAATATATACAAGTCGCCCTTCGATTGCTACAAGATTTTATCGAAAACGTTAAGAAATAGCCAAAAGTTTGAAAGACCATACAATACACGTGGCGACTACTCATGCAGAAAAAACATCAGTTGAACGAATTCTATTAGTGAACGGTTCATGAATTTCGTCGCGTTTCAAAAATATATACAAGTCGCCCTTCGATTGACGAAGGCTAAAGCAAATTCATAGTAAAAGACTAAAGATTCTTACCTTAAATTTAACTTGATTAAACAGCGATCTTTTGAGATAAACTTCTCTCTTCGAGCACTTGTGCAAATGCGAAGCTTGCTGACACGAAGCGAAATTTTAAACTTGCCTCGCACGCAAAAGTAACGCCCAGTTACACAAACACATCCTCGTCGTGATTGGCTGAGCTAAGCAAATGAGCTCGCTGATTGGCTGAAGGCAAAATTATTTATTGGTTGTAATCCCTTGGGGAACATTATTACAATAGGGAATGGTTGATTTGAAATTCTTTGGACATTCCATGGTCACAAGTTAATTCAGTTCATGCATACAGTGATCGACCTCATTGTATTTTCGTACCAGTCTAAGATTGTTTGGGCGTTCATCTCAAAATTACTTTTAGCTTTATTTTGTAGTTTGCACAATTAGTTAGCAACCTTTTTAAATGTATCTGGCGGTTGGGAAACAAAAATAATAGTCAAGTATTGTCAATTTAGGCCTGTTTTATACGTCGAATTTTGGGCGCGTCGAATGCAATGAGATGATAAACCTCATTGGGCTTCATTATCTATTGTTTGAATTGCATTCGACGCCACCGAAACTCGACGTATAAAACAGGCCTTAATTACAATTATTATTGATGTTGTAATGAATTGCAGCCATATTTATACAGCAATATATATGCAAAACTTTATGAACTTCAGACATAATTTTTTCTGACTTTGGCGGTACCAACTAAAATCTCTTCATTTTAGCAAAATTTTACAGATGAAGCAATAGGCAATTCCAGCTTTTAGTTTATGCCTGCAGGGGATGATGGGAAGTAAGGTATCATATTGCCAATTTTGCTGAAATATTTCAATAAAAACTGCCGAAACAACCGAAATATTTCAATATTTACAAGTACTTTCACTCCGTGTTTACACGGCCACATTTTTATTTTTTCAGCATAATCAGCAATGTGATACCTTACTTCCCATCGTCCCCTGCAACGCATAAACTAAAACAGTAAAAGCTGGAATCAGGGGCGTGGCGACTGGGGGGTCTTGGGGGGGGGGGTGTGTGTGACGCCCCCCCCTCCCAATAATTCTGAACTTTGAAAAGTTGGTCAAAATTTCTGAAAAGTTGGTAAAAATTTTTGAAAAGTTGGTCAAAGGAATTATTTAAATATTAAACGAAATCTTTTATTATTTACAAAAATTTTAGAAAATCCAAAAAATGTTCAGAATTTTAAAAAAAGTTCTTTGATAAACGGAGAAAATTTGTGATATCCGAAAAAATTTTAATGTCGCGAAAAATGCGATAGGTCCGGAATTTTTTTGGCAACGGGGGGGGAGGTCGCCAAAAAAAATTTCGAGAAAAATTTTTTTAAACACGAAAACGTTGGTCATTTTCATTGAAAAAGTTGGTCATTATGGTATGACGCCCCCCCCCCAATCTGGAATCGTTCGCCACGCCCCTGGAGCCTGGAATTGCCTATAACCAAGTGGAAAGTATATTCATTAATTTTTAACGCGTGTTACGTAACATACAAAAGATTCTGAAATTAACACAAAGGATTTGTGCACGGTGAGTACAGTTCAACATCAAACAAAGGTCTTTTGTTTTGTAGCTTTGACATTTGCCAGGCTTCAATGCCATCATATCTCGACAGACTATGGCGAAACAATAAATAGTACCACCCAATGTTCTTTCCATTGTCTTCAAAATCCCACTGTCGTCCAGCCAAATTCGTTGTTTTGACTTTGATTTTAGCATCTATTTACTTTTGAGCGACTTATTACTTTAAATGACATCCAGCTGCGGGATATTTAGGGTTGCAACGGCGATCTTAACCTTGGCTTTTAAATTGAAAACAGATACTGAATAAGCAAGCAATAAATAAGTTTCGACGTGTGGTTGCTAAAATTAAAGAAGGCCAGTTCAAAGTTTGACCCTTTTAATCACTGCGGGTTTCCTCCAATCCTCCTGGCGGCCTGGTAGGCTCCAGCATGTTGAACGGCAAGACACGGACGTCGAGCCATAGGCTGCCGTTTCCACAAAATCGGATAACTTTCCGTAGTAGCGCGAAATTAAAAAGCACTTATCCGATATTTCAAAAACAATGTAATTGAGAAGTTCAAGTATTAAACGTCGATTTTTACAAGACTGTTTTCCCACTAGTATATTCTTGTGATAATATATAATTAACATAAAATACGCACATTACCATAATGACTAGTTCGGTTCCCACACATAAAAATCTTAAAGGGCATTGATGACTCGAAAATTGACGGTGTTATTTCTTAGTCTAATGTGAAAGATCATTGAAAACTGTAGAGTAACTTCTTTGACAGATTTTTGTTTTCTTTCTTCGTTTTGGAGATATTTCATTTTGTATGATATGCAAAGAACAACTTTCACGCCACACATGCGTAATGACTTAATACTTTAAAATGTTATATAATATTGTCACTATCACATAATTTCGCTCAAAATGAATGATGAGAACGAGATTTGTCCACAACAACACCCATGTAGGTTTTCTACTGATTGTGTTTAGTCGTATTAAAGATATAGAACTTTTAGGGCTAAATCATTATGCATATGTAACGTAGGAAGTTGGTCCTTTGCATATCATACAAAATGAAATATCTCCAAAACGAAGTAAGAAAACAAAAATCTATCAAAGAAGTTAACCTACAGTTTTCAAGGATCTTTCATTCAAATTAGACTAAAAAATAACACCGTCAATTTTTTAGTCATATGTCCTTTCAATTCTGGGTTGCCTTTGGCTACATCCATACGGTTAATCCGTTTTCGCATTGTTCCAGCTAATTCGACCATTGTCTCTATTCCCGTGGAGAAAAATACGAAATCCTACGAAAACAGATTGGCGTATAGACGTAGCCTTTGGCTTTGTTTTTGAAACAGTGGCGTAGCCAGAACGATAATTGGGGGGGGGGGCATATTCATATATTCGTGTTCACATACCAAAAAAACAATTGATTTCAAAAGAAATTAATAAAGCAGAAAACGAATATATGAATATGCCCCCCCCCCCCCAATTATCGTTCTGGCTACGCCACTGTTTTGAAAACCAATAAAAAAAACGTGTTCGTACTACAGGGTGTCCCAAAAAACCCAAAACGATTGAAATAAGAGGGTGGGAAAGGGTATTTTCGTGAGCCGTGAATGGTGAACATTTGTTCTTGTGAAATGTGAAATACTTGATTTTAGTGTCGTGAAATGTGATTTGTTCTACAGCCGTGAGGCGTGATTGTTGATAAAAATGCTCCGTGAAATGAGAATTAAGGATGCCTGTTTCGTGAACTGTGATTATTATAGTGATTATTATAATAAATATGATACGCGATAATCAAATTTATATGATCTCACTCGATTGCACAAGAGTAAAAACTTCGGAGGCCTTTCGCGAGGTTCCTGGCGCTGAGGACAAGGTTCCTGGCGCTGAGGACAAGGTTCCTGGCGCTGAGGACGAGGTTTCTGGGGGTGAGGACAAGGTTCATGGCGGTGAGGACAAGGTTCCTGGCGGTGAGGACAAGGTTCCTGGCGATGAGGACAAGGTTCCTGGCGGTGAGGACAAGGTTTCTGGCGCTGAGGACGAGGTTCCTGGCGGTGAGGACAAGGTTCCTGGGGGTGAGGACAAGGTTCCTGGCGGTGAGCACAAGGTTCCTGGCGCTGAGGACAAGGTTCCTGGCGCTCAGGACAAGGTTCCTGGCGGCGAGGACAAGGTTCCTGGCGGTGAGGACAAGGTTCCTGGCGTTGAGGACAAGGTTCCTGGCGTTGAGGACAAGGTTCCTGGCGTTGAGGACAAGGTTCCTGGCGCTGAGGACGAGGTTCCTGGCGGTGAGGACGAGGTTCCTGGCGGTGAGGACGAGGTTCCTGGCGGTGAGGACAAGGTTCCTGGCGATGAGGACAAGGTTCCTGGCGCTGAGGACAAGGTTCCTGGAGGTGAGGACAAGGTTCCTGCCGCTGAGAACAAGGTTTCTGCCGGTGAGGACAAGGTTTCTGCTGGTGAGGACAAGGTTCCTGGCGCTGAGGACGAGGTTCCTGGCGGTGAGGACGAGGTTCCTGGCGGTGAGGACGAGGTTCCTGGGGGTGAGGACAAGGTTCCTGGCGATGAGGACAAGGTTCCTGGCGCTGAGGACAAGGTTCCAGAAGGTGAGGACAAGGTTCCTGCCGCTGAGAACAAGGTTTCTGCCGGTGAGGACAAGGTTTCTGCTGGTGAGGACAAGGTTCCTGGCGTTGAGGACAAGGTTCCTGGCGCTGAGGACGAGGTTCCTGGCGGTGAGGACGAGGTTCCTGGGGGTGAGGACAAGGATCCTGGCGATGAGGACAAGGTTCCTGGCGCTGAGGACAAGGTTCCAGGAGGTGAGGACAAGGTTCCTGCCGCTGAGAACAAGGTTTCTGCCGGTGAGGACAAGGTTTCTGCTGGTGAGGACAAGGTTCCTGGCGCTGAGGACAAGGTTTCTGGCGCTGAGGACGAGGTTCCTGGCGGTGAGGACGAGGTTCCTGGGGGTGAGGACAAGGTTCCTGGCGATGAGGACAAGGTTCCTGCCGCTGAGGACAAGGTTCCTGCTGGTGAGGACAAGGTTTCCGCCGGTGAGGACAAGGTTCCTGGCGGTGAGGACAAGGTTCCTGGCGGTGAGGAAAAGGTTCTTGGCGGAGAGGACAATGTTCCTGACGGTGACGACAAGGTTCTTGGCGGTGACGACAAGGTTCCTGGCGGTGAGGACAAGGTTCCAGGCGGTTAGGACAAGGATCCTGGCTGTGAGGAC